TAAACACATAGAAAACAAAATCAACAAAACTAGTATAACTTTCTGGCAATGCAGAAACATGATTGGCAAAAGATGGGGACTGACGCCAAAAATCATACTGTGGCTTTACAAAACTGTAATTCGGCCCATGATCACATACGGCGCTCTGGTATGGTGGACCAAGACAAATGAAGCCACCACAATTAAGAAGCTTCAGCGCTACCAGAGTCTGGCATGTATGGCTGCCACAGGCTGCATAAGAACTACGCCAACAGCAGCCTTGGAAGCGATGCTGGAGCTAACTCCGCTTCGTCTACATATACAACAAGAAGCGACTTTAGCTGCCATCAGACTCAAGACCCTAAATCTTTGGAGTAAGAATAGTGTCCCTCATACAGACATAATTGATAGAATTCACTCAGAAATTCCTATCCTACAAGCCAAATACGATAGGATTCCTAAACAATTTGTTTTCGATAAGAAATACAAGATACAATTAAATGAAAACAGCCAGCCAGCCAGGATTAAGCCCAAAAGAGCTTAGAATTTTCACCGATGGTTCTATATATAACAAATGAAGGTGTAGGTTCTGGAGCTTTCTCTGAAGACCTCAATATTCACATATGCACACCGCTGGGTACCTATAACACGGTCTTTCAGGTGGAATGTATGGGTATCATTCAAGTGGCCATAGCAATAGATGCAAGGAAGGTTAATGACTTCCCCATCAGAATACTGACTGACAGTAGGGCGGTACTACAAGCTTTGAGTTGCAATGGGGTGAACTCGGGACTAATATATGAATTCCATCAACGATTAAATGAGGTATGTAAAAACAAAAATGTGACTCTGCAATGGATAAAGGGACACAGTGGATCCAGAGGCAATGATGCAGCGGACGAACTGGCCAGAAGAGGATCGGCTCTGGCCACTATAGGGCCGGAACCAATCATACCAATCCCCTTTGGTAGAGTTTGTTCACTGGTACGTAGACACTTCACTAATCAACATGCTCAGCTTTGGAAAAATCTAGTAGACTGTAGACAAGCTAGGGAGGCCCTACCTGTAATAAACAGTCGCTTAACCAAAGTTTTAATGAGACTGAACAAGCCGCAGATCAGGATAGTAACAAGTGCTATCACAGGACACGGCACCTTTAACAAACATTTATTTACTATAGGTGTTACAGATAGTCCCCTGTGCAGGGCATGTATGGGGGGAGGAAGAAACGGCGGCCCACGTGCTACTGAAATGTCCGGGAGGTAGCTACGTACAATAGGTACAGGAGGTAGCTACGATCACTCCCCGAAGTTGCATGCAACATCAAGGGACTGTTGAGCTTCTTCGGGGAGATCTCATGGCTCGAATAATCACATTATTCCTGCCCACACGCAAAATACGCGCATAGACGTGGAGTTGCGGAAAACAGCCCGTCGCAAACTAAACTAAACTAATGGGTTTAGGTCCACTTCTTTCCTTGCTAAACCATATCAGTAGCATAAGTAAAAGTTCAAAAATCTATAAAAAAAAACTATTTACTGCTTAGAAAAATAAAATTATTAAAATTGGTGTTTAAAATAATCTTCAGTATACGTACCAGTACAGCCAAAATATAAAAACGACACCTTAAAAAGTTTGCATACCCAAATGTGTGCTAAATATGTAATTTAGGCAAATGAAAACTGTCTAGCACATATTTGTGAGTGAACATTACTAATTCAGTTTTAGTCACAAGCTATATAAGGCAGACTTGCTTGTATTAGTAGTAGTTAGTATATTATATAAGTATAGCCAAGTTGTCATACCTTATTGTATAGATGTGGATAGGTAAGATTTTTTATAGAAGAGGGGGCAAATGAGCATGCTCACCTAATGATGAGTAACAACCGCCGCATATGAACAACTGTAACACCAGTGAATTGCAGGTGCGTTGCTGGTCTTTTAAAAAGGAGTATGCTTGTTACTTGAAGTCCCTTAGTTATGAAGTTGCAAGTGGGTATCGCCATCAAATACTATCCCGCTCTACTGAACATGCCAAGCTTCTTAGAGGCTAATTTAGCCTTCCGATTTCGATTCTGAGGGGAGTGCACTGTTAATTTTTTCTAAACATTTCGCATATCTTTCATTGGTTACATGTAAAGTTAATTTATTAGTCATACCTTTTTCGTCTAGAAAAAAAGCCTCCTTAAGTTAATTGTTTTTATAATGACCATTAATTTTCACCACTGAACATGTAATGGAAAGTCTATATGATATAAATTAGATCATGTGACAAATTATATAGTAAAATAATATGTCATGGCCCTGAGGTACAAGCTGCAGCACTTAAGATTAAAACCCAGATTTATGTGTGTATATAAAATATTATCTTTGTTGTAATTTTAAATAAATAATAAATTCTATAATTTAGAGGGCAATCCTAACTGTGCTCTGTTTATGGGCTAACCAAATGTTGAAAATAACTATAATTTAAAAAGAATTCATCTTTGTCATTTATTAACAGTGGGAATGGGCGTATGATATGGGGAGTTAATTATAACGGAATCAAACATTGGAATGGAGGTGGCTATAAAACTAAATCTGATAACAAAACTGTACTCATAAGTAGTGCTGAAAAACTAGACATCATACAAAAATTGAAAAGCTCAGGATGGAAAGTAAAGAGTGTACCAGGTGCTGGAAACAAACTGCTCAAAGTAGCAATAGGTAAACCCCATATTTTACATTTTCAAATCTGATTTTTTTACATGGTAAAACTAATAAATATGGAAAAATATGTAAGTTTTGTAAATAATGCCCTTACCGAAACTAAGTGTATTCAGTTTATTCAGCAGTAACTGAATATTTGCTTCCTCTTCTTGTTTCGGCTGAAACCGAAACTTATGTTAAGGTGATTCCTCGAAAATTTGGTGGTTTTTCTATTTCAAATATTTCTAATTTTTGGTATATGATTTTTGACAATGACCTTTGATTGCATAAGAAGAAAATACGATAACATGTAAATTTTTTCGATAGAAAAAAATTGTAAAGTGCTCTCTTTTAGTTACATTTCTCTATGCCACTAGAATATTTTTATCCATGGCAATATTTTTAAAGCATAGTAAATAATCATATCAGTTTACATAAATCATTTTTTTAAAACCACAAGTTTTGTTAAAAAAAAATCTAATGTTTGGTGCTTACGTAGTTTATTTTCAAACGCGTGCTTGGTATAATTTATGTATCATGTCATTTTAACACTGCCTCAGTCGTCCGTGAGCTTCACCGATAAGTGCTAAACCACACCCTCGAAATTACGATTCATTATCAAGGTATCCTCTTAAGTTAATATTTTCACTATCCTCTGAAATTCAGTGTTTGTCGAATTTATTACTCTAAGTACTCTAAAATCTACCAGTTCTTTTTTTGTTTGACTGCAATTAAAACACATCATTATTCTGATATCTCTAATACATTCACAGGTGAGGCAGCAGCATACGTTGTCTCGCAGGGTACTACTTTCCGCTGGGATACCTGTGCACCACATGCAGTTTTAAATGCAAGAGGTGGAGGACTTGTGAGTTTCTCAACACACTGCGCCATTACTTATAATGATGCTACAAATATTGATACAAAAGAATATTGCAACTCTGAAGGTATCATAGCTTGTGGTGAACAATCAACCCTTTCAAAAATTCTTAGCGATTTAAATTAATGCAAATTTTATACAAAGTGAATATGTGTATGACATAATTGATTAAAAAAATCTTAATACTTGCACTCTTATATAATTTTTATATGTTAAGACTCGTAAAGGATATTTATTTAAATTTAATGACGCCAGGCTAGCTGCCCGAGCATTTCATGATTTGGTCTATAATTAAGACTCATGACTTCTGTTAACTTTGTCAAAAATATAGAAGTACCCATCTAGTCAAAAGCACATTGTTGCGGCATTCTATCTGTGTTGCTATGTAAATACAAAAAAAAATTGTGTTGTGTAAATAGAAAATAATTTTATGTACCTACTTAGATTACCATTTTGTCTACGTTAGAACTAGCTGAATCTCGCAGACGCAGTTTTACCTGCCAGTTAATATCATAGGTTGTGTTCAGCAACGTTTTTTGTTTTAACGCATGCAATTTAATTAATTAATTGCCGCGCTTGATAGAAAAAAAGCATATAAAATCAACAATTTTAAATTTTGTTTGTTTTTTTTTATTTTATTTTTTTTAGTTTATAAATATTAAACCTTATCCGTTGAAAAATATATATCTATGTATGTATGTATTTTCATGGTGTTGATCAAATTGATTTTGAGTTAAACTATTTGACATATTATACAAACATTCTCTTTTATATGTTTATCAGATAACCAATATAAATCAAGTATTTTAATATTTTAATGTGTAAAATGGTTATCTTTCAAATGTAAAATTTGCTTGTTAAAATTCAACCTTTTCTTAGTATTTTGTGATACCTGTACCCGATGTTGATCTCGCATATTATTTATGATTACGATAATTATATCATCATTCATACTCATATCATACTGAATACTTAATGGTTTTAATTGTTAAATTACTGTGAATATATTCTATTCCATATTAATTATGTTTTTATTTCTCCTCCTAATATTTTGTTCTTCATCATTAGCTGGTACTTAATCTACTGCTTTTTAATTGGCCTCGCCTGTTTTAAAAAAGAATTGACCATAATTGCTATACTTGAAAGATGATGGATACATACATACCTATGACGCTGCTACCTTCATCAGTATAGATATTTACGACCAACGTAAGCAGGATTTTTTACCGCCATTTGTTGGAAGCTATTAGATCATTCTGGCATTATGTTTAATTTCTTTGAAATGGATTATCTTACCACCACTGGGTAATTAATTCTTTTATATACATACTTTAATACTAAATCTAAAGAAATAAAATTTTATATTTGGTTTATTAACTTATTAATTAGTATCTGGAAGTATGACATAACTTTGTAGTTTCATTACAATAATTATTATCGACTTAAAATTATTTCACTCACTAGAACTATAATCACTTTCAGTCCTTTTACTTTTCTTCTTTTTTTTCTTTTTTCTCTTTTTCTCTTTATGTTTCCGCTTATTTTCCTTATGCTCTTTCTCCTGAAATAATATTTAAAAAAAATTACAAGTCAAATTAGTGTCATTGATTGAACTTTCATACTATTATGAGCTAATGAATTGTTAATTACATTAACTGTTTACTAGAGGAAAACAATAGCGTCATCTGGATCCACTCACCACACTTCGTTTCATTTCACTTCCAGTCCAGATTCATAGAACATACGAGGGTGGATTGAAAAGTACTCGGCCTAACACAGATCCATTCAATTCTAAAAATCAAATCTACCCACATTATTTAGTTCAGTTCAGACTAGTTCATTGTGTGAAGTTCGAAACGTGTGCGATAATTACCTAGGTGGATTGAAAAGTACTCGGCCTAACACAGATCCATTCAATTCTAAAAATCAAATCTACCCACATTATTTAGTTCAGTTCAGACTAGTTCATTGTGTGAAGTTCAAAACGTGTGCGATAATTAGTTGTGATTTTATAAATTTATTAACAAAGTAATCGGACATAATTTCCGCGAATGGAGCAAATCGAGCAGCGTGCCGTCATTAAGTACCTCCATAAGAAGGGGCTATCATCAAAAGCCATCCATGATGACATGGTCAGTACATTAGGCGATTGTGCTCTGTCATATTCATCCGTCAAAAAATGGATAGCAGAATTTAAGCGTGGTAGAGAGAGTGTGAAAGATGAACCCCGCTCTGGAAGGCCTTCGACGTCAACTACTGACGAAAATATTAAAAAAGTACTTGATTTAATAATGGGAGACCGCAGATTAAAAATTAGAGAGATAGCCGAGATTATAGGCATCTCTTATGAACGAACTCAAAACATCATTGTCAACGAGTTGGGTTTCCACAAGGTGTCTGCGAGGTGGGTTCCGCGATTGCTTTCAGTTGAACAAAAAAGGACGCGATTGACTATTTCACGCGACTGTTTGGAGTTATTTGAAGCCGATGCAGATGATTTTTTGAATCGTTTTGTTACTATGGACGAAACATGGGTTCATTACTGTACACCGGAAACAAAACAACAATCAAAACAGTGGAGAAGACCTGGTTCACCACCCCCTAAAAAGGCTAAGTCGATTTTGTCGGCAAATAAGGTGATGGCTTCAGTATTCTGGGACTCGAAAGGTGTGATTATGATTGATTATCTTGAAAGGGGTCAGAATATAAACTCTGATTACTACTGCACCTTACTACGTCGTTTACGAGAGGAAATAAAAGAAAAACGTCGAGGAATGCTCAGAAGAAAAGTCCTGTTTTATCAAGATAACGCCCGTGTTCACACGTCAGTACAGTCAATGGCTGAAATTCACAACTGTGGCTTTGAACTGTTACCGCATCCGCCGTATTCACCTGATCTGGCACCATCAGACTTCTTTCTGTTCCTTAACCTAAAAAGTACTTGGGAGGTCAAAGATTTTCGACAAACGACGAGGTCAAAGCAGCTGTAGACGCATATTTTGACTCTAAGGAAGAATCATTTTTTTTTCAACGGTCTAAATGCTTGGAAGGGGAGGTGGCAAAAGTGTATTGAACTTGGTGGTGATTATGTAGAAAAATAAAAATATAACTGATTTAGTATGTGTTTATTTTCTTGGTTAGGCCGAGTACTTTTCAATCCACCCTCGTAGTTGTGATTTTATAAATTTATTAACAAAGTATTCGGACATAATTTCCGCGAATGGAGCAAATCGAGCAGCGTGCCGTCATTAAGTACCTCCATAAGAAGGGGCTATCATCAAAAGCCATCCATGATGACATGGTCAGTACATTAGGCGATTGTGCTCTGTCATATTCATCCGTCAAAAAATGGATAGCAGAATTTAAGCGTGGTAGAGAGAGTGTGAAAGATGAACCCCGCTCTGGAAGGCCTTCGACGTCAACTACTGAGGAAAATATTAAAAAAAATACTTGATTTAATAATGGGAGACCGCAGATTAAAAATTAGAGAGATAGCCGAGATTATAGGCATCTATTATGAACGAACTCAAAACATCATTGTCAACGAGTTGGGTTTCCACAAGGTGTCTGCGAGGTGGGTTCCGCGACTGCTTTCAGTTGAACAAAAAAGGACGCGATTGACTATTTCACGCGACTGTTTGGAGTTATTTGAAGCCGATGCAGATGATTTTTTGAATCGTTTTGTTACTATGGACGAAACATGGGTTTATTACTGTACACCGGAAACAAAACAACAATCAAAACAGTGGAGAAGACCTGGTTCACCACCCCCTAAAAAGGCTAAGTCGATTTTGTCGGCAATTAAGGTGATGGCTTCAGTATTCTGGGACTCGAAAGGTGTGATTATGATTGATTATCTTGAAAAGAGTCAGACTATAAACTCTGATTACTACTGCACCTTACTACGTCGTTTACGAGAGGAAATAAAAGAAAAACGTCGAGGAATGCTCAGAAGAAAAGTCCTGTTTCATCAAGATAACGCCCGTGTTCACACGTCAGTACAGTCAATGGCTGAAATTCACAACTGTGGCTTTGAACTGTTACCGCATCCACCGTATTCACCTGATCTGGCACTATCAGACTTCTTTCTGTTCCCTAACCTAAAAAAGCACTTGGGAGGTCAAAGATTTTCGACAAACGACGAGGTCAAAGCAGCTGTAGACGCATATTTTGACTCTAAGGAAGAATCATTTTTTTTCAACGGTCTAAATGCTTGGAAGAGGAGGTGGCAAAAGTGTATTGAACTTGATGGTGATTATGTAGAAAAATAAAAATATAACTGATTTAGTATGTGTTTATTTTCTTGGTTAGGACGAGTACTTTTCAATCCACCCTCGTAGAACAATATTTTACACAGACCAAACTATCAATATTGTAATTGTTACTGACTAGAATTATTTAGTTAAGAAAATTAAATACTTAAGGGGAAATATAACCTCAAATGGCTTAGCAAGATCCTCCGTTATGCCGAAAGTATTGCAGCATTAATTTTGAAATAAATATATGGTAAAGTTGTCCTGTCGCTCCGCAGGAACCAAGCTTACGCGCCGATAGTTTAGGTAATTTCTTTTTACAGTGAAAATAATGATATTTTAAAAAAAGTAAATAACATAAGCACTGCTTTATGGTTAGTTCAGTTAGTATGCAAAGTTTCATGATCTTATTTAAAGTATTTTATGAATAACAGCGGTCTATTGTTCAGTTTGGAGGTAACTTTGGTTTTTTTTTTCTATCGAGCAAATTTTACGGAATCGTGTTTTCGTCTAACATAAACCTTAACATTAATCCTCAACTTTACCACATATTTATTTCAAAATTAATGCTGCAATACTTTCGGCATAACGGAGGATCTTGCTAAGCCATTTGAGGTTATATTTCCCCTTAAGACTGGGAATAGAGAACAAATTTAACTGTGGACTTTATGTAGACGATGTATGTGGGAAATTTAGATCCTTTATGACAAAATTAAGCATTCTAAAGTATAAGTTAGGTAACATATGAGATTTTGAGGCTGTGATGTATGAGATTTTGAGGTTGTGATGTATGAGATTTTGTGGCCGTGATATATGAATAATTCTACACAATTATATTATCATCATTACAGCCCTTCACAAGTCCACTGCTGAACATAGGCCTCCCCCAAGTAACGCCACAAAGCACGGTCCTGAGCCACCTGCATCCATCGACTTCCTGCATGTCTTACCAGGTCGTCACTCCATCTAGTGGGGGGTCGCCCAACACTACGCCTACCGGTACGAGACTGCCACTCGAGAACCTTTCTTCCCCATCGGTTATCGGTTCTTCGAGCTATATGGCCGCCCCATTGCCACTTCAGCTTACTAATCCGTTCGGCTATGTCGGTCACTCTGGTTCTACTGCGGATATCCTCATTTCTGAGTCTATCACGCAGAGAAACTCCGAGCATAGCCCTCTCCATAGCTCGCTGAGCGACTTTGAGCGTCCTCATACGGCCAGCGGTGAAGGACCACGTCTCTGATCCGTAAGTAATCACTGGCAACACGCACTGGTTGTACACTTTAGTTTTCAGAGATTGAGGTATACCTGACGTGAAGATGTGTTGTAATTTCCCGAACGCTGCCCAGCCGAGTTGAATCCGTCGATTGACCTCTCGGTCGAAGTCGGACTTACCTAGTCGGACTATTTGTCCCAGGTAAACGTACTCGTCAACAACTTCGAGCATAGTGCTCCCTACAACTACCGGCATAGGTGTGACATGGACATTAAACATGATCTTTGTTTTGTCCATTACAAGTCCACTGCTAAACAAAGGCCTCCCCCAAGGTATGCCACAAAGCACGGTCCTGAGCCACCTGCATCCATCGACTTTCTGCATGTCTTACCAGGTCGTCACTCCATCTAGTGGGGGGCGCCCTACACTTCGTCTACCGGTACGAGGCTGCCACTCGAGAACCTTTTTTCCCCAACGGTTGTCGGTTCTTCGAGCTATATGGCAGGCCCATTGCCACTTCAGCTTACTAATCCGTTGGGCTATGTCGGTCACTCTGGTTCTACTGCGGATATCCTCATTTCTAAGTTTATCACGCAGAGAAACTCCGAGCATAGCCCTCTCCATAACTCGCTGAGTGACTTTGAGCGTCCTCATACGGCCAGCAGTGAAGGACCACGTCTCAGTTCCATATCTCATCACTGGCAACACGCACTGGTTGTACAACTTAGTTTTCAGGTTTTGAGATATACCTGACGAGAAGATGGGTTGTAATTTCCCGCAGGCTTCCCAGCCGAGTTGAATCCGACGATTGACCTCTCGGTCGAAGTTGGACTTACCTAGTCGGACTATTTGTCCCAGGTAAACGTACTCGTCAACAACTTCGAGCTTATTGCTCCCAACAACTACCGGCATAGGTGTGACATGGACATTAAACATGATCTTTGTTTTGTCCATGTTCATCTTAAGACCTATCCGTTGGGAGACACCATTGAGGTCATTGAGTGCATAGTGCTAAGGTCCTCCAGCGATTCTGCCATAAGGACTATATCGTCGGCAAATCGAAGGTGAGTGATGTACTCGCCATTGATGTT